TTTGGGGGGGGGGGGGGAAGGTGAAACAAGCATTTGAAGGTCTGTCCTTGTGTTTAAAAAATGATATTTGGCCAACTTTGACCAATAATGTGATGAGGTTAAAGTTAAATTCAAAGGTTGAGTATGGAGAGGATTGAAACTAGGTTATCCAAAGAGTACGTGGGTGTTGAAATCAAAGGAAATGGTATACTATAGTGGGAGAAATAAGGGGTCAAAGTGGTGTGGTTGAGAAAAAAATTATGCACTTAGGGCAAAAGTCAAACTAATCGAAGGTTGAATATGAAGTGGGGTGGGGGACACTAGTGGACTCCAGTAGAAATTGTGGGCGTGTTTGATCTCCGATTGACATATGGTCAATGCCAAAAGTTCCGTAAAGTCCGTGCGGAGGTCCTGGTATAATTTCAAGTTGATCTGATAGCCGAATCAAAATGAGGAGTAAAATAAATGTTTTCACCTCCAGGGCCAATTTGACAAAGTTTTAGGTGATTTTTTCAAAAAAAAAAATTTATATTCATTTATAGTTAGTTAAATTTATTATGTGTGTTAAATTTCATCAAAAAATAGCACTTTTTAAATTTTGGCTATTTCATATCAAAATACTGAAATGGATAGGTTTCTCAATTCCAGAACGGGCGACACTTTCCAAACTTGTTTCTAAATTACCCCTATGTTATTTATGATGCTTTATCATGTTTTTAAATATATGGTTGGGTATTTTGAATATTGACTTGGATCTGAACTCGGATCAGGGTCTCTAAATTTAGTTTGCACTAATGTTTTTGGAAATGATCGTATTGCTTGAATTGCTCGTATTGTTCTTATTAAAAGAAACTTCGGGATGATTTTAAATGAAATACAAGTGCACATGGTTCCAGTGGCAAAAGGGTTTAAATTCCACTTTGAGGCTGTAAAGGGTACTCATTGAGTTTGTAAATGCCTGGGTGGCCCAATTGGTCATCAGACTTGGGTATTGAATGTTGACAAGGGATCGTATCTTCCTCAGGGTGCACGTCTCCCAAAAGGTTGGATTGTATGTTTGTATTGACCCTTAGTGGTTTATTAGGATGAATTGCCCACCAGTGTAGCACTGTACTTGAGTTTATGAACTCTCTCTTTTATAGTTTTATTTAACTGTTACAGTTTCACATGAAATTATGTTTTTGTTGACATATATGTATCAAATGCTCTTTTGGATTTTGCCCAATCATGCTAAACCACACAATTTTCAAACTCGTTTTCTTGGAAATTGAGTTACTCTACTGAGCTATTGATGCTCACCCTACAATATTTCCCCTTTTCAGATGTGAGAATGTTGGGAGATTTGTACATAGTAACCTGCCAGGGTTTTTGTGTAACTTAGGAAGATGTATCTAAAGTTTGAAATAGAACAAAAGAAAACTTAATGTGTGACGTGTACTTAACTGAATAGTAGTTTGTAATAAGTTGAAATGTGTTATGTTATAAAGTTATACATATGTTTATACAATAATCTGTGGTTTCTATATTGTTGACACGACATCTATGGACTTCCTCCAATGGCTTTGTGTATGCTGACACACTTAATGGACTAAATACCAATAGAGTGTGTATCCAGATTTACCGGTCTTGCACCCAAGGAAAAATCTAGCCCTTCTTGCTAACCCCGACCCTTGTTTTTGATATAACCCATATGACTCAATCGAACCTATATCTAATTTTCATGAGCCCACATAGCAACCCATTGAGGATGGTGTTTGATCAAAACCATGCACACACCCGCACTTATGTCACATGCTCACGAATGCGATGTTTCCCGTGCATATGCGAATGTAATGTACCATTGCAATTTACCAATTCATGTTCATCATATCATGAGCATATTAAGAACATATTCCACCTCAATCAATATTTTTCAAATTGTCAATTATATCATAAGCATATAATTACAATTCACAACATTACCAAGCATGTTATATCATTCTCATTCAACTAACATACTTAGGTCATTTCTAGGCATTTTATCAAACACCTACAAGGCACAAGATTATGTAAACACATAGCATGCCTAATTTATCACATATCTTAAGAAATTACAAACAACCATTTTCAACAAACCTAATT